AGTAGCAAAATAAAAAAAAAACATGGTTTAACGATGAATGTAAAAAAACGTTCGTATACGTAAAGCTTCACTTAAAAAGTTTGAACATCGCCCTACAACAGAAAACCTTGAAAATTATAGAATAGCTAGAAGATCAATTCGTCAACCTAAACGCCACTCATGGCAAGCATATGATTCAAATATTAATTGAAAGACTCCTATTAGGGAAGTCTGGGAAATATAAGTGGTAAGTATAAGAAGAGTTCACTTAAAAACTGGTGATGGCCAATGTGACAAAACAAAAAAAAAACGGATATTGCAGAAATGTTGGCTAAAACTTTTGAAAAGAACTCTTCTTCAAACTTCTGGAACATTTCCCAACACTTGGAAAAATGTGTTAGTTATTCCTATCCCTAAACCTGGAAAAGATTCAACTGACCCTACAAACTATCGTCCAATTTCTCTATCAAGCTGTCTCTACAAAACATTCGAAAGAATGATAAATAATCGGTTAGTTTGGTATCTAGAAAATAATGGAATTATCACTAATTTTTAGTCAGGTTTTCGTTTACAGCGAAGTACAAACGATCATCTTGTACGACTTGAAACTTTTATTACAGAAGCCTTAGTAAATAAACAACACCTGGTATCAATTTTCTTTGATCTTGAGAAGGCTTACGATACTACTTGGAAATATGGTACTAGTATCCTAAAAGATCTAAAGGATGCTGGACTTAAAGGCAGACTTCCTCTTTTCATTTCTGGATTTCTAAACGTTTGGCACTTTAAAGTAAGCCTTGGTTCAACTTTTTTCTGAGAACCACCAACAAGAACAAGGTGTTTCTTAAGGAAGCATACTTTCTGTTACACTTTTTGGCCTGAAAATAAACAATATTGCTAGCGCTCTTACACCAGGCATAGATTGTTCTCTATCGATCGAAAAGTACGAGAACAATTGAAGGCAACTTCAACAAAATTTAGATAAAATTCAAAAGTGGGCAATAGAAAATGGTTTTAAATTGTCAAAGTAAAAAACTCAATGTGTTCATTTTTGTCGATTGCGGAAACAGTGCATAATGACCTTGAACTTTACATATCTGGTTCTAAAATTTCAGTTGTTGAAGAAGCTAAGATTTTAGGAATTATATTTGATAAAAAACTTTCTTTCATACCACATTTGAAAAAAAATGCCTTAAAGCTTTAAAGTTACTGAAGGTTTTATCAAGTAAAAATTTGGGATCAAATTCTTCCACATTACTGAAATTATACAAAAGTCTTATCCGATCAAAATTAGATTATGCTTCTGTAGCATATGGGTCTGCAAGAAAATCATATCTTCAAATAATAGATACCATACATCACCAGGGTTTACGTTTAGCTTTAGGTGCTTTTCGCTCTACACCTGTAGAAAGTATATATGCTGAAGCTGGGGAACCATCGCTTCATTTTCGTCGAAAAAAGCTATCACTTCAATATGCAACTAGAATTTCATCTAATAGTAAAATCCAGCTAAAAATATTTTCAAACCAAGTTATACCGAAAAATTTGTTAACAAACCAATGGAATTTAAACCATTAGGCCTTCATTTAAAAGATGATTTAGATAAACTTAAAATTAATCCAAACAGTATCCTTCAAAATGACGATGAGGATATTCCACCTTGGACTTATAATTCCCTGATAATAAATATTAACCTTTCAAATATGAAAAAGGTCATCAAATTCACCTGAACATTTCAAAGAGTAGTTTCTAGCAATTAAGGAAGAATGAGAAGATTGTATACGCATTTATACGGATGGTTCAAAAGAAGGTTGCAAAGTAGGTGCGGCTGTGTTTGAAAAGAAATTAACATCTAGTATGAGGATACCAGATAATGCATCAATTTTTACTGCTGAAGTGAAAGCTATAGTTTAAGCATTGTCATACGTAGTACAGCATACCCATGATAATTTGTGATAATTTCTGACTCGCTTTCTGTTTTAAAATCCATTAAAAATAAAAAATCTGACAATATCATGATAAGGAAACTTCTTTTACGATTTTATGATATACTTAAAACAAAATCTGTTAAATTATTTTGGATTCCAATTCATGTAGGTATACGAGGAAATGAAAAATTAGGTGCTTTAGCTAAACAATCATTAAATTTTCAAAAAACTGACTTATTTTAGACCGGCTATAAATTAACTCGTATCATCTGAATGGAAAGCAAATTCGGACAATGCCGTTTTTAAAAAAATTTCACGATATAAACCCATCTCTTGATGTGTCACCATCTCTATCTCTGTCAAACCGCCATGATCAAACAGTTCTTTTCGATGCCGAATGGGACACACTAAAATTACCCACTCTTATCCTCTCACGAATGACAATGCCCCTTCTGTGTTGCTTGTAATAAAAATTTTACTGTCAAGCATTTTTTTCTTGAATGTCATGATTTTTCACAGGCCCGTTATAGATTTTATTGTGTAAATTCACTCAAAGAACTCTTTTATACAATTCCATCAAAAAACATCATTGATTTTTTGAAAGAGATAAACCTGTATTCTAGGATCTAATTGGCTCATTTTCATTGTCATTTACAAAGTTTTACATAACATTTTAAGCCTATTATAGCATTCGGCACGATATGGCCAGTTATGTGTTGACGTGTCGTAAAAATCCAAACAAACAAACAAAAATTCATCTTGAATGTTTAAAATGGTTTCTAATTCATAACTCAACAACTCACGGGACTTTGACCTTCACAAAAACGGTTTCCGATCAATAACTGGACAACCCATGGGCTTTTTGCCCTCGCACTTTGTAGATGCATTGGTATTAGCATGTTGATTTTGGTGTTACGGGGTCAAAAGCAATGATCATATTGACCATGAAGGTAAAAACAGTTTCCGATCAATACCTTAAAAAACCCTTTGGCCTTTTGTCCTCAAACTGCATAGGAGAGGACCCCTAATGTGTTTGGGATCAAGGGGTCAAATGTTAATGTCAATAACTCGACAACCCATCAATCCTTGACCTCCAAACTACACAATTGCATTGCATGTGGTCAGAAGATGACCTCAAATGATTTTGGGGGTCAATCGGTCATATTGACTTCAAAGGAAAACCGGTTTTTTTATCACTATATCAAAAACCTATGGGCCCTTTACCTTCAAACTTCACTGATGCATTGGTATTAACTAATAGATAACCCCGATTGATTTAAGAGTTAAAGTGACATTGACCTTGTATGTAAAAACAGTTTCCAACAAATAATACAATAAAAAATATATTATTAAGTAGGCCTACACGACAAGATAAAATTTATGCATACATTATTTGGTAAGATTTGTGATCACTTTGTAATCAAATTTATGCACAAAACCGTTACGGTCACAATGACCTAGTGACTAGGCATGACCAGTAGATAACCTTTATTGAATTTTTGGTGAAAAGGTCAAAGTCAGTCACACTAACCTGGCCACATGATTAATTGGCTGCCGATAGGGGACATACATGTTTTACAAACATATCTTGTATAGTAGGATTAAAGGATTATTTTAGCAGCAGACCATTTATATCTACCAGAATTAAATGTACAATACTTAGCAGAAAAACAAAAATAATCTCCCTATCCCACAAACTATATTAACAATCATCAAATATAAAACGGATGCCGCTCTATCTATGATAATATGATTAAAATTATCAGAACATTACAAAAATGGATTTTATTGAATGAAATATCTGGTCAAATTGATCCTAACTTTCAAACCAATTCAATACATATAAAATTAACAAAGATCAAAAAGTATTATGGTTCCAATTTAGAATGAATGATATAATTCTTGCGACCAATTATTTACTTAAGAAAATGTAGCATTAATGTCAATAATATGAGCCTCTTTTATATTCTATTCGGTAACACTCATCTGGACAGTGTTACAAACCAAATAATAAAAAATTTGAATGCAAAATTTCATATATATAAGAGAAGAATAAGACTGAGAAGTATATCTCGAATTAATCTTTTAATTATTGATTATTTTATTATTTATAATTTTAATAAATCTAAAAGAGTAAAGTATAAGCAGAATTCCATCTTCCCTTATCTCGTCCATTCTAAAAAAGGAACTTTTTTTAGTTTTAATACACTCAAAGTCGACACCAAACTCTTTATTGAGTTTATTCATATGGCTTTTGTTTCCTCTAACAATTTTATACCACTTAAATAGTACATAACTTGTTTCTGTAAAAATCAAACTTGAATGAAAACATTTCTAATTGTAAAGATTGTAATATTCTGTATTTGTCATTATTCTTTCTCTAGAAATGTTCAATTTGTACACAAGTTGTGGTTCTGATTATGTCACTTTTTAACTAAATTAACATATTAGACAAGAAGTAAAGTATATACATTAAAGTGGCTTAATTGAAATCAAAGTTATTTGTTGTAGAAACTGTCATAAATATTGTCAGTTTACAACAGTGAAGGAACTATTAAAAGGAAGTTTTTTTCATCCAATTATTACTGAGAATGGGCCTTTGTCAAAATATTCAAAAGTAAATAACAAGAAATTATCTGAACTCACTCTACTTGAACAATGAACAATTGTTTGAATATTGAAAACCATTTTAAAATTTTCATGTTTTTATACGTTATTCTTAAGGCTTGTTGCATATAGTATTCATATATTAGTATTTATAGTATTATAGAAAATAATTATCAAATGAAATTGTATGTGATTGTGAACTTTTTAATGTATTGCTTTACATTGTAAGGTACACTGTGGAAGCTCCCCGACCACTTTGTACCTATAACGGGGTTTATAAACGTACGAATTCCAAAAACAAAGTCTATAAATTATACACAAGACAATTTAATTATAGGTGTATGAAATACTTATGTGAATGCAGAGTATATCATTTTTGCAAAAGTATCAACTTGATTTAGCGATTAGACAGTAGTAGGTGAAAATGAATATATATATTAAGATTATGATGAAATATAAACAGGTTGTATATTTTCTTTTATTTAGGTCGTGATCGGGATAAACCATATCGAAAGCGGGTACAGAAATCACCCTCTTCTAACTATCCTTCAGAATTACCCAAACATGTCGCAGGTGACACTATGTATTTGGTACACGTACCACCAAATACAGCAAATGAACCACCAGTATCATTTGCTGAAAGGCCTTCGCAGTCAGTACCGTCGTACATATCCCAAGAGAGTCCTCACCGTTCACAAAGTAAGCATATCATCAGTTAGATTTTAAGCCTTTAGCAGATGTTTTCAACAAAAATTAAATTTATATGAAAACCTCTTACCGTTTGTTTGACTGGATAGAAATTTAAATGTCTTTTAAGTATTCTTGTTAACTCAGAACAAAGATTTATCTACTAGAACTAAAACTACCTTTTAACTTGCACATTTAAGATTATACTATCGTGGAACATTAATTTACATCTCATGTGTCAAAATATATCTATACGTAATGAAACTAAATAATATTATGATTTCTTCTGCTACATTTTTGCATTTTTTTTTCAATTGCCATGTTATACATGCAAATAATTCATTTATATCTATCACATCAAATTGCATGTTATTTATTTTTATTTTTCACAAATACTGATACATGGTTATTTGTTATTGATAATGATCTGTGTTTTATTATTTTATTATCTGTAATCAGGGACAATTCAAAACTTCCAATACAAAAAAATGTTTTTGACGATAAATCGGCGTTTCATTACTTTAGAAAAATTTAATCATATGTTTTTATATGGTATTATTTAGGCCGCCAGGAGTCATCAAGTAAATTGGAAATGCATACCTTGTTGTCACCAACAGATACCTACAAACAACAGTATGGTGACTATTGTACCAGTATCAGTGTTGAGTCAGGTAATGTGGAATTTGTTTCTTCCTAGTTCTATATCAAAATTTAAAATCATTTTATAAAGAATGAAATAAAGTTGTATTTTGCTTTACAGCATGTTATCGTAGCTTATTTTGCTGATTATGGTACATCTGAAATTGTTTTCTTTTATTTAAAGCTTACCTTACAGATATGGACATTTCTAAAAGTGTGCTCTTATTTAAAGCTAGGTAACGTCAACTTATTTTGTTTGCAGATAGCGACGACATTGATATGGTGTTTTTGTTTAAAGCATGCTGGAATTCAGCTTATTTCATTTGCAGATATGGACAATACATGGATTGTGTTTTGATTAAAGCATGCTTACTGCAGCTTATTTGCAGATATGTACATCTTTGGAATTATGTTTAAACTTAAAACATGCTAAATGCAGCTTATTTTACAGAAACTTGCACTTCTAAAAAGGTGTTTAATCTAAAGCATACTTAGCGTAGCTTATTTTGCTGATATTGAATAGAGTGAAAAAGAATCCCTATAGAAAGCCCAACGCGGCAAAATTGAAAATGTTGCAGGCCCGGTTTGATTGAGCCTGTTCATGGACGGTAGTATCAAGTACAAACTACCGTCCACGCCCCCTTGCAGCGGCTTAAGCAGAATTTAACATTTAACATGAACTGGTAAAATTTAGAATTTTGAAACATCCGCAGATGTGTTCATATGGCGGTTATCATGGAACTTTCAATGTGACACGTTAGTGCCATTCGATGAAAAGCGGCGTATGGTCCCCAAGTAAATAATGCGTGTGCCCTAAACGAGAAAACAATAGGCGGAACTAACTAAAATGGAATTTTGAAAGGGATCTGAGGTTATGAAGCCTGCATATTACAGATTTAATGTCAAAAGACACATTTAAAAAGCAGGCCTCATATTCTAAGGGTGATTCAACAGTATTCAAGTGTGGAATACTGGAACAACCCAACAGGAAAGATGCCGAATAGATAGCACTAAAATGCCACAAGCACAACAAAACCTCTGAAATTGTGCTTATTTAAAGCATTTTAATTGCAGGTTTTTTGCAGATATTGACACCTCTGATATTTCTGGAAGTAAAACTTTTTTGCAGATAAAAAAAATGAAAATCCACATTTATCTAAAACATGCTTAGCGTAACTGTCTTGCAGATATTGTCACTTTTGAAGTTATGTTTTCATTGTAAACATGTTATGCGCAACTTATTGGAGATATCGGCACCCTCGAAAATCGTGTTTTTATTTAAAGCTTGCTAATAACAGCTTATTTTGCAGATATGGACACCTCTGACCATAGTACACCTGCTTTTAACTTCAGTCCTTCTGTTAAGGTAAGCGCGGTTGAAACTGACCTGCAGTTTGTTTTAGCTAATGATGATCAAACTATATTATATAGCTCAAACAAAATATGAAAGGTTGAACTGATTAGACGCCGCGTGCACGCGACGTGTAGTAGATATGCGTTTGTCCATATAGCAATGGGGACAATTTTAGACTTGATTTTGTGTATATTTTTTTTGTTTTAACAAAATCACACTGTTTTAAAAATTTTCTAATAAAATAAGCTTTTCTGATGTACAACATGTCACAGAGCCTTAAGTGATTAAAATAAACGTTTAACTGAAGTTATAGTGCCATATTTGAATATCATATTATTTTTATCATTATCTTATTTTATCTTCATAATAAATAACATGCCAATGAGCCAGTCTATAGTCGATCGTTCTAAAGACAGTTAGCGACTAAAGCAGTGTCACTCATTTCATTTGCTCCGCCTCTGTTGAAGTTCGGCTCCGCCATAAATTGTCGCCACTTTTAATATGATGCCCCGTATGCTAGCATTTAGTCTTCGTTGACGGGGTGGAAGGGAACAAGGACAATTTTTATCAATATCACTTCTCGAATCATTAAATTACAAGTTAAAAAGCCTAAACCACGCCCACTCTAAGAGAGGCGGGTTCTGCCTCAACCGTTAATAAAGTACACCAAACTCTGCGCACTGGTTACGCTATGACCAGTTAGGGGAGATCACTGCAGAATAGTTCGTCCTCAAAATCATTTGAACATTGTGCAATTCGCACCAATATTTAAATGGATATATTCTCGGCACATATTGTCTTGAATTTATTTTAAGTATACCAATCATTTCAATTTTACTTGTTATCCAATTCATTTTGTTTCGACCAAACGTTTCAATCTTTGTTGCAACAGACAAACATTTCAGACATGGCATTACTTTGTGAATTTATGCATTAGGTTCTACTTTTTACAAAAAAATGCAACTTAATTATTTAACAACGAGCACATACCAAGAACATGGAGAAAAAATGATTTGTGCTTCCAATATTCCACTGTAATAGAGAACGATTTTCAATGCTAATTGACTGTTCACATCATTTGGCGGCGTCTTTGATGTGCAGCATCAACATTTAACTTGTTATTTCATAGATCAAATCGGTGTACGCAGTGCAAAATTTAAAACAGTCTGCCTAAAGTACCTCCTACTTTTCAGTATGCTAGCATCAAGGGCAAAGACTTGTGTTAATCACAGCGTTTAATCAATACCTTAACTGAACATACTTGCAGCATTAGAATCTTATATTTTGGTTGATCTTTAAGTTTGCAATTGCCCTGTGCTTGTATTACATTATGTTTATTGAACACACCTATGTTTAAAACAAATTTTGAAAATGATTTAAAGCAACACGCCCCCAGATTCATGCTAATTTCCATGAAAAATTTGAAAATGTATTTGAATATGTAGTATTGTGAAGTCAACAAAAGAAAGCAATTTACACATCATCAATGGCACTTTCAAACCACCTAAATTACCAAAACGTGGTCAAAATATGCATAAATGGCCTTTACTGCTATAGATATATAACGCAGTAGAAATATAGTTGTAAATATTGAAAAATCAGTCATTAATCGCATTTAATATGCAAAATATTACTTGAATTTTGAACCTTTTTACTTTTCCTTACATCTTAATACATTTTTCTCAAGTTTGAATAAAATATTTGACCTAGCTGCTTTAACATATCGTACTGCAAATATTCAGTATAGATAGCACAGGTCATGTAAATGGTTCAACCACTTAGTTTTTTTAATTTATAACGATTAAGATTAAAATAATTTGGAAAATTGAATATTTTATCGTTTTCTAAACGATTTTCGTACACAATACATTTAAAATACATGTAATAAGAATGCATTTTAACTCTACCTATCGTTATTAATCAATTTTAGACAAACGTTACCGTCAGGAAATTGGTAAGTTTCCTTCAAAAGAAGTACAAGGAAATGAAAAGTCAGTTAGAACCTAACGAGCTAGCAGACATTGTATTCTCGAAGGGCTTGATCACAGAAATTGATATGGAAATTATAGACGAAATGAAACACAGAATTGAAAAGTGCGATAAACTCATTAAGTCAATAGTGACAATGTCTAGGAAGGCGCATAACGAGGAATGGTTTGTTGGAAAGATTCTTGATTCGTTCAAAAAGGCAAAATGCGGACGCCTCATGGATGATTTTGACAACTTTGAGGGTAAAATTTTGTTATACAGCAAGGATATTGAAGCTTAGAATTTTAAGAAAAGGAAAAATACGTCCGCTCCTCTGATTATCCATGCTAACATTTGGATACTTATTTGACAGCAGGAATTATACGTAGCCGTACTTCTCTTTGTTTACATTCATTCCATAAGCTTTTATGTGCCTATTTACATTTTATGTGGCTACACAGACAAATAGAGAGAGAACAAAGAAAGAACATAATTTGTGTACATATTTTATATGTCTTATATAACAGATTCAGAAGGAAAGGTAATGGTGCAAACATTTTTATTTCAGAACCTAATCATTTTAACAAACCTCGAACACTTGATACAGCAGTTGATGTAACAGAAGACAAAGCATGGACTAAAAGGTTGTCCTACATTTTAAGACTAATTGGAGACGAAATAGATTTGTTGGATATCATTGATACACTACTTGTCAAAGAAATTCTAACGTTTAAAGAACATCAGTCAATTCTTGATGCCTCTCCCAATAGCAACAAACTTAAAGAATTAGAGGAATCGATCTCTCGAAAGACCAAAAATCATTTTATTGAGTTCTATTCTGTCCTAGAATCTGAATACCCTAGTGAATTAAAACTCGTTGAAAACGATACAGCCTCACCGATGGATACAACTAAAGGTAAATACATGTATAATGATAATTTGTATATAAAATGGAAAGTAAATATTTATTACTGCTTTTATTATGTCAAAAGAAGACAGAACGTAATTTAAGTTCAACTGGTCTGGACATGAGATAGTTTCATTTAAGCTTAAAGCTATCTACTCAATCCTTCTTGTAATTTATGTATTTTAATTTTGTTTGAAAATATGACAGAAGAAATTAATATTGTTAATCCTTGGATTCATTCCCAAACCATCTCGGATATATATACTATAAAATGACCAGCGGATTGGCCGAATCATTTCAATCCATGTATGATGCATTATTTATTTCCACTGAAAGTGTGAAAAATTATAGAAGTCGATCGTGGCTCATAACATGTTTTTAAATCTTAAAAATAAAAGAATAAAATGCATTGTTTATAACTATGCCTGTAAAAATAAATGGATTACTTATCTCGACCTTGATATTTGAGAAGAAATGTTAATATATTACCTTGTTTGTCAATAATTGACAGTATGTAAAATCAAGAAAATGCATACATAATAAGGTATATTATATGATATTGATATAGCTGCAATCTCAATGGTCCAAACAGAAGTCAACAGAACTTTTTGAAGAATCATATTAACTGGGTGTAGTATCATATTCACTGGCTAAATTGGATTTTCCCAGTGTAAAAATAAATTGAGACTCATGTTCAATGACCACATATCATAGACTGTTAATCACACGTGCTTATTAAAATATATTGTTGCGTATTGTTCTTTAAAGTATATTTCTCGATTAAAATATAATCACTTTACTATCATAGTTTAAAGTTAAAGTTACTATGCAATGATGAGCATAAACTTGAATTACTTTTGTATGCGCAGCGCTCAGGAAGTTGTTGCACGCCTTTCACTTGCGACTTTTTCCCGCGCTTCAACGAAACAGGCAAAAGTTGTACATGTAAAAGATTGTACTTTCTGTGATTCTTTTAATTCTTATATCCTATTCATATAATAAAACAATTATTGACTAGTGTGTCATTGAATATGATGTGATATTCACCGGCAGAAAGCCATATTGACCTCGGCTATAGCCTCGGTCAATATGTCATCTAGTCAATAATTGTATAATATTATATTTTTATGTCAGAATATTGGCCAAGTTCCAGAGATACTTTTTATAAATGCATTTAGGATCTGAAATGAGATTTCATTTGATATAAAATTTTTGAAACTTCTTCAAGAAATGTTTTGACAGTACGTAATGTAAAGAAATTCGTGACTATTTCTCACATAGAAAAACAGGAGAAAACATATGATTGAAATGAATATTTTTGCCTTAGCCAGTGACTCACCGGTAATAGAAATGGAAGATTTCAAGGAGGTTGCAGTTGGAATGGGTTTGTTTTGTTTATGAATTTATTTCAATAACGAACTGATAGATTTAAATGGAAATGAAATATAAGCATTCTCAAAAGAAGATATTAACATATAATTCATTAAATTATTGCTTCTACTAGATCAATTTGAATAGATATTCCTTTAATCAAAATAAATATGTTTTAAGACATGGACAACATTTATTTGTAAATGCTACATATTATATATCATCACGAGACTATAATGAAGTTTACTGCGCGTCACCTTTTACATATCAATCGAGTTGTTACTAATTTTGCCTTTTAATATATTTGAAAAGCATTAGAGCCTTCTATTTATGAATATTGCTAGGTTCATATAGAATATTGACACTGTCTTTGATATGTATTTATAATTCTCTGATTATTGTATTGCTTTCCGATAAGATGTTGTAGGTGAGACTAGCATAAATGTTGTGATGGTAGGACCAAGAGGAGAAGCCAGGGAAGTTGAACAAATGATCGTTGAGCAAAATTCTCCAAAACCGGCCGACTTTCTTGTACAAATGGTATCATTTGAACGGTTTTGGCTAAGATTAATTAATAGAAACAATAACCAAATAATATTTGCATAATTGCAGTAACTTGGTTTGGTAATTTTTAATGAACAATATTTTTACTTTGATTCTGGTTCGTAAAGTTTTTCCACAGTTATTTTTTCTATCACGAAGTTCATTTGCATTTTGTTAAATATTGAATTAAAATTTAAATACACTGTCAAGTTATTGAATCATAGATGATGAACAATATCATATCACAGGTATCGGAAGATATGCAGTGTGGAGTAAAGAAGGTAGTTTTCTCATGCATCGAAATAACATTTGAATGCATGTCAGAACGGTCGCGCATGCTTCTTCTACAGAAATGCGAAGCGTCTGATAAGTTCTTAGAAAGATGGGTTAGAGAAATGATTGATCGCAGCAAAATTGATAATCTGAAGAGAAAAGAAGTCAAACAAGTGAACTTGAAAATTCAAATAAACTGGCCTGGTATGCAAATATTATTGTAATTTAATATTAAATGACATAAATTCGACATATGTCTTCTACCAGTGCATGAATATGATACAAAATTTGATCAAATGACTTCACCATTATATGAGAATAACATTAATCTTTGAATTAACAGTATTAAAATTTATAATTTCATTTGCTGTTAGAAATGTGTATCTTATTCGAAAATATATTGTATTAAACCATTTTAGTCAGTAGCTCCTGTGCCCCTTAAACTTGCAAATTGTCTTGCGTGTTGATATAGTCCAGACTTAAAAAAATAACAAAGTGACAAAAACGTTTCATCCAGACGTCAAGAACTTTAGCATTTTGTTATTTTGTTTGCAGATTTTATCATCAGTCGACAAGACATTGCAAGAAACTATGTTTATCTAAAGACAAATCTAGAACCAAAACACTACAGTAAGATATTTCAAAAGAGAAGAAGGACATCTGGTATGGTACTGATAAACAATGAAGAAGAAGATGAGAAAACAAAATGCAAAAAATTTATATTGTTCATGGTAACAAATGAACATGCACCACTAGAGAAATTTTCAGCAGAACTCAAAGGAACGAAAATTATAGAACATATTAAAGGAAATTCGAAATATTACAGTATGTTGATATATCGACTAAATTATTATTACGATACACACCGGTTACATAAAAAAATCACCGTTTTATCATTTTCTATGCAAGGTTTGACACATAGATCTTACGGGACCATTTCAATCATTTTGAAATTGTAATTGTAATTTACTGAAAGATACAGAAGCACCCTATGAGTCTTTTTAAATAATGACTGAAAATTTAATGCAACATTGTTGTCGAATAAACGTATTTTTAAATACCATACTTAATTAAGATAAGATTTAAATATTATTGTCAATTTCTATGACGTTATCAAGCAAACGTTTGAAATTTGGATAGGTTCCAACTGATTAGAATACTTGTTGTTTCAGAAACATGTGCATGCAAGTTGACAAAAAAGAAGATAGTTGAACATTTCACATTCCTGGAAAAAGAAATGAAAGATGTAGACAAAATGGTAGAAATTTTCATTGATTTTTACACACTAAATAACGACAAAAGTGAAACAAATGAGAGGAAGGCGAACGCTTACAAAACTTTAAATGATGACAAAAATAAAAAACGCAACGAATTGGAGCCATCTATGACTGAAGCATTTCTAAGAATGATTCTTAAATCAGAAAATGACGACATACAAGTTTGTTTATTTGGTGAAGCCTTAGTAGATACGGATCAAGAAAACATTCTCAGGAAGGTTTCAGGAATCAAAACAGAAGTATCAGCAGGTAAAAACTATTATTGAACCACATACTAGAAACAATGATTCAACTAATTGTATTTACACCTTCAAACTGGATACAAATGTAAATGACTCCTAAAAAGAAAACAAAAATAACGTATGCACATATAAAAAGTATACGCATACATATTTTATAAAAAAAAGAAGTATCTTAGTCTTATTTATTTGATCGTCCTTTGGCGGTTAAATATGATTTTAAAGAACACTTCTATTGTAGCATTTTGTGAAAAATATAACATTTGTATGCTTTCCCCTTTAACTCGAGTACTCGTGGAAGATTTTAAGATAACAAATATACATATGATTAAATATTGTTAAAGCAGGCTTAATTCATTTTCAGATTTTTATTTAACAAAAGATGACATACGACGAAACGAAAACTTTCTTTTACAAGAGATGGAGCCAATGCTTTTTGTAACAATGTTGTCAGACCAGGATATTCGAGAGCAGATTGTGGAGACAAATTCACGTGAGCAGAGATGCAAACTATTTTTGAATTTCTTGAAAAAATGTGAATCGACAGTAATCGAGAAATTTACGTCGGAACTGCAGCGACTTAATCTGAAGTCCATCATAAATTATCTCTACAGTTCCAGACGCCAGGGTCACTATGGTAAGACTTTATATCTTTGTTTTGAACTAACTACTTTTTTCTCATTTAAATCAAAAATGTTTTCTTTTTAAAAAAACAGTTTGATTTGAAAGTATCCCATTTTTTTCTTTTTCTATTTTTGGTTTAGTTTAACGCCACACCAATATTTTATAGGTCTTATGGCGGACATTACAGCTTTATTGGTCGAGAAAGACCTCGATGCCTTTCCATGCATTAATTCAGGCACAAACGGACACCGGAGTAAAAATACCGACGTTCTGATAACTGAAAAGCTTTCGCACATGATATAATTCAAAGTCTCTGTCGGGATTGGAACCCACAGCGGTGCGGGGTTAGTTGTTTGAAGACAACATCCTTAACCTTTCAGCCACGGACGTCCGTAACAAAGACAGTATATACATAACATAAATTCTGACTGATCAACTTTATCAAATGTTTCAAGTATAAAAATATTAAAAGGTTAGACTGATAAACTCGCATGTAATATCATTTATCTCAACAACGGTTATTTCTGGCTCTACTAACCATTCACCATATTTTTCTATTCAATATCAAAGTAACGAAAGATGACATTAGCCAAAACAAAGCTTTCCTCGAAGATATGTTAGAGCCAAAGAAATTGCCAGATATTTTCACAAGTGATGGCAGATTAGACGTTATAATGTGTACAGATGAGCATGTTTTTAAAAGGTTTACAACATACTTGGAGAATGAGAAACCAGAAATTGTAACTTATCTGGTCCAATCTAGAGAAGAAGGTAAAGCAGTCAATTAAGATTATTTTTAAATTCTTAACCTCTTTTTTTAGAAGAACTCTTTTTAAGAATTTATGAAACTCTAAATAATCTGTAATACATGTATAATCATAATAAATTGTTTCATTGCTATAATATCAAAAATGACAATATGAAAATATTTTATTGTTAAGATTGCAATGATAATATTTAGCTTACACATCAACATAAACACAAGCAAACCGATCTGAAAAAAGATTAAAATATGCCTCAGTGTCGCGTACCTAAATGTGGCAAAATGCGTAAGGAAGGTAATACCTTTAAACATAGAAGGTAATACCTTATAAACAACGTTAATGCAAACGAACGGTTAAACCTTGCCATTAAGTCATTATCTTTTAACATTGCATTATGTCCATTCAAGTGTGAATGGTGAGTGCCCAGATAAATCTCAAAATAACTCCTAATTTTGCCATAATTGTGTGAAGTTTTATAGAAGAAGAAGAAGAATCTTTATTTTGCAAATTAAAAACTCTCAAAAGAGACAATTACATGTATGCATAAGTAAATAACTAATTACATAGCAAGATGACGTGACTGCAAGTATTTCTTTTCTTTCATTATTAATAGTTACCATTGATTATATATTTAATTTACAAGTTATTTACTTTTTGAGAGATTCTGCATTCAAATATTTAATATTAAGAAATACTTCGTGTATGTGTTACACTTGCAATCTCGGGTGAGACATTGTCAGCATATATTACAAAGTATACTTTAAAACATGAATGAAAATTATCTTCCATACACTGGTCTGTGTAGAACATTTACAAATCTAAGCTATATGGTTTTGATTTATTGCAATAGTAATATGGCACAAAATATTGAAATTATGCAAACAAAACAAATGTTACTTCTAAACTATACTTTTGAACGCATATTGCTTCAAACTTGATACAAGTAAGACCAGTGTATGATTTGAAACTTACAAATTATATATATATATATTCTACTATGCAAAAATAGTCAATAATCAATGTGACCAACAGAAATGTCTATGAATACCGTTCAGAGTTAATTTTTAAAAGATTGGGCAGTTTTTATGATTTTATGGTATTTTTTATATTTTATTCTAAACAGTTTTCATTTTCAATCATTGGTTAATCACCATTCTAAAAGTGAAACATTTTGCAATATACAGCTGAACTTGATACCGAAAGCGAAAAAATAATCATAATGTAACTTATTATTTTTGACTATTTTTAATTCCTTTAAGATATGAACATGCGATCAGTTAAGGAAAGTCTTATAGAAGCATATAGCTGCATAGTATCGGAGATCGAGCCCAAAAGGATAAAAGAATTGTTTGTAGAAAAGGGAGAGATTAGCAAAGACGTATATAATTCCATTTGTTCGAAACCAACAAGACGTGGGAGAGCGATAGAACTGATGTCAAAGGTCATAGCTGGGCCTCTTTCAAGAGCACAATGCATGATTGAGGCCCTTGAATTTTATGGCTATAGATCACTTATACAGCAGATCAGAAAATATGGGGGTAATTTGTTTATTACAATCAGTTTATACAGCATGTTGAAAATTTTAGAGGTAATAATTGAGATATTTTGTATATGAGAACGAACTTAATTCCTATGTAAACTACTTAAAAGTAGATTGATCTACAATGGGCATATGTACCATAACCATGCCAAATATTGATAAAAAACAATAAAAGCTTAAAATATTGATTTAGTATGAACATTTATATGATCGATTATACTGTTTTGTTCTAAAACAATTTATTTTCTGATGAAAAAATGTTATACAGGATCACGTACTCCCACTTGCCAACAGCATCCATATATAATTATTTCTTGCTTTGTTATTATGCTAAATAACAATAAAATAAGTTTGATGTATCATAATGATAAACGAAAATAGGAAAATCCCTCAAACTCAGTTAAATTTATTTTTGTTATATGTTAAGTCACATCTGCGGGTGGTTGAAGTTGTGTTATAAGCATGCTTGTATGAAACAGTTTTACTGTTTTCCTTTATTAGTAATCAAATGTTTGGCAGTCTTACAGAAGAATCGTCTAAATTGCTTGACTGTTATTATCATTGTTTATATTTAACTCGATATTGAACCAGATAATAATCGTATTAACATATTGCCGTATCTAGAAACTTTTAAAAGATGTCCAAGGATTTACAGACTTAGACAAGGTGTAAGACAAAGTGTTGTATTTGAAGGGACGATGCACATCAAGTATGACAGCGGTAACTACACATTTTTAACTTTACACATTTTTTTACTAAAACAATTACAAAAATTCAATACTGATATGTGGCTTCATTATTTTATTCAGTGATTGTTAAATAAATCAGACGGATTTTGTATTGTTCAACGTTGATAATTAAACTTGTTTCTTCTGGGGCTAAACTTTAGTCCTCGTTATTTCATCTTATCCCCTCTTAGCACATCAAAACTACGCGTTCATTTTCTTTTTTAGGTCATAATAATAAACATATTCAGTAGTTGTCTCTCAAAATTTAGGTCAGATTTGTACTGAAATATTGTCTTCGTTTTAGTTAGAAATTTATTGTTAGAACATGAGTAAATTAACTATGAGTGTTACCATGTATTTGAATTTAATAATTTCATTGCAGAGGAAACACCTGGTTTGCTGAACTCTTTAAGTAATTGTGATCCTGATCACTCAGAACAGTTTGTAACCAAATGGCTAAATGAAAACCCAGGTAAAATAATTAATTAATAAAATTAACATTAATTTATACAGGCTAATGGCAATGTTTACAAAAACATCCGTGATTTTTTTAAATAATAATAATAATAATGAATAAGCATTAAGATTATGTACATGTGAAGCTTATAAAACAAATAATCAAGATGATCAATCGAGCAAGTATATACAATTTGGATGAGATCTTTTTTATAATATTTATTTCTGTATTGAAGATCTTAGCGCTACATCTTTAACCTTTGACGCTCTGGACGAATATATTTTTCCGGATATCGGTAAGCATTATATTAATCAGTAATTATTAATTTTGTTCATGAAGTAATTTCTTAAAATTCATGATCCATAATCATTTCAGTTTCTGATATCATTTTAAGAAAAGAAAAAAAAGAAACAAATGCTACAATTATATCAACAAATGGAACATTATAGGTCCCATGCTAATCGAACAGTTTAAGAACCTTTTTTCTATGCAAGTGAAATAAGAATCATTTTTATGTATTGAAGATGTAAGCGCTACACAGTTAAGAAACGAGATGAACGAAGACATCTTTTTGAATCACGGTAAGCATATCATCTTTCTGTTCATGGTCATGGTTCATGGTCATTATCCGTTTAAATTTTAGTTTTTTATATACTGTTTTGAAAAGAAACCTGTTATAATAACTAACAGAAAAGTAAATGCTTAACTTTAGTATTAAAATATAATTATGCAGTTTCAAACAGACATTGCACATAATATTAATAGTTCTATAATAAATATTTTTGAAATAATGTGAATTAAGTCCTTGTTTGTTAAAGATCATGCGCCAAAAGAAAGCAATACACCTATAAGTGTCAGTGTTGCCGAAGACTGTCCTCAGGTTTTCGGTGAGTATTAAGATACAATAAAGTCAACAAAGTAATAAGCGCATCTTTTTCTAAAACATACAAAACATTTTTTTCTGTATTATCTAATTAAGAGATATTCTTTAAAACGAAACATATTTTGCGAGGACTTCCCTGGCTTTGCTGCTTACGTCTGATATTGATAAAATAATACACGATTTAAGATTTAAGAAAGTTTAACTTTTATCTTACTTTAATGAAAATTTCGAGCACAATAATTATGCTTTACAACTAAGATTAAATAGTTTGTAATTTGTTTGTTATTACGATTCTTTTCAGCAGACCCTCCGTCTCCATACGATTTAGATTTACTAGACGATTTTGTTAGTTTCAACAAAACAAGTTCTTTCGTAAAAAACACAGACTGTCCGAACGAACAAAAATTAAACACTTTCATAAATCAAAGACACTATACAAAATCTCCTAGCAATGATTCAAGAAATTCAAGCCCAAGCTGCTTTAATTTTACCCGTAATGACGAGTCAAGAGAAAAAAAGGGCGCTGCATCGACAATCCTTTCTGCAGACGAGGATAGCAGGTCTTTTACAGAAATGTTCGAAGGAAATTTTGAAAGAGTACGTCATGATTTGACAAGTATCAGTAATGAATATACAAAAGGACAAAGTACTGAACAGCTGAGACACAATGACCAGTCCTGGGGTTTATCTGAAGAGGAAACAGTAAAAAATACAAAAGAGGATATTGAATGAGTGTAGGTTCAATACTAAATTTATTGAATAATTTTGATAAAATTTTATTATTCGAGCATTATGCGAGCTTAATATTAATTTTTTTAACAAGGTCAATAAATTCAGTAATGAAACTACACGAAAATAATAATATATAATAATAATAATATTTTATCAAGTATTAGAAAGAAGAACTGTTTAGAGTTAAGAAGAATATTTTTTATTGATGCGTTTATTGTTTAACGTTTTCATTTAGCGTGTCTTTAAGCTTAAAAGTGCCGTCTTGTGAAAACATATGCGCGGGTGTGAAATACCGTTTTTACTGAGTCGTTAAAGCGGCACAGATGTATGATAAAAATACCATATCTATTGATATATCCCATCGTGATGTATATCTAATAGATGTGAAATGATCAACAAAGTTGGAGCATTTTCTTTCAAAACGACAGTGCTTATTCTAAAATACAAATCAATATTCGCTAATGAGAGAGACAGTCTAATCCATTCCCATTTAAGGTTGGTAAAATATTCAAATACTGTCGGCCTCGTTGTACTAAAAGCAGTAATATTTTATTTCAAGTCCGAAATACGGCGTTTAGGTATCGCCTCTAATCTTGATTGTCGCCCTTTCTAAATAACGGACAATTGACTATAACAAATATATATCATTTAGTTTAACAATCCGGTTAACTTAGAAAACATGACAACACAAAATTGATGTAAGAAAATATTGTTTATTGTGTTATTATCGATAAATACTCTTTTTATTTTGTGTGCAAATACTATTAAGTGCCAGTTTTTATAAACTTTTGTGCTTTCTGATGTGCCACCGATATGATCTTTTTTCTACAGTCAATCTGAAATCACGTTTGAAATTTCTGAGGGTCATGTTTTGTCTTGTGTTGAGTTATTGTATCGTTTTCTTATTTTTATAAATATTCAATGTTTAGCTTAGTTGACTGCGATTTTTTTAATGACATTTAAACTTAAAAGTTTGTGTGAAAGTAACTACAGTTCATTCAACGCCAGAAGCCATCTTGAAAGTCACTGAAAGTTAATTTTGCACGTGCGCACATTCACTTGCCCATTATAAAAATTATGCCGAGCAGCAGGCTGCGGATTTTGAAGAATGACCTAGAAATCCTACATTTTGTTACTATATATAGTGACATATGTGTTAATATCTTTTAAGATTTTTGAGTCGAAATGTTGTATTGTTCAAATAAATACCTATTTACCTAAAAATGAGATGTATTCTTTGCTATTGATTTGTTTAAATATCAGTTTTATTATGCTACCTTCTTTTATTTTGACTGTATATTGCATGATTATCCCCGCTTTCTAGAATCTAAATGTTTGATACAGTAAATTTGACAATGTGATGTTGTGTTCGGCTAAAGATTCACTCTGTATGTGTCAATGCACCTTTTTACATTACGATTTTTCCATAGCAACGCATGTTGCATTTCTCGCATGCGCATTCTGCGTAGGGCAAAAGCGCAATAACGATAGAATACATTTTAGCGTACTTAAAGGCTTTAAAAGGCGTGATCTCAAGTCATGTCACCCAGAAAAAAGAATTTTTTTGGATGAATTAAAGCGGTAAGTACTTAAAACGTGAATTGATATATATATATATATAACAGATATACAAAATTAGCGGGACTTAAAATTCAACGACCAAAAGTCCTCTGTTCAAGGTATCATTAGGTGACTTTTTCATCAGTAATTTAAATTAAAACTGCAGGGTGTTAAAGATCACATTTTATTACCCATGTAATACATAATATTACACTATTTGGTATTCCTTTGAAAGTGGATTAGCAGGCGGGAGGTGTCAAACAGATTGACACGTGACCGGTTGTTATTTGCCAGCTAGTTATATCATTCAACCGGGTCGTTTTAGTACCATGACATAGTTAATTACTTAAAACTATGAAAATGATTAATCATAATTTAAGTAACTTTTATTTATACCAATCTCATCAATGTTTATTGATTTTGTGAAGTGAAAAGTAGTGTACGTGACGTCCATTCCCATGTGTTACAAGGAACCGGATAAAATGTGTGTTATTCAACCACTCATCCTTTTCAAGAGTTTGAAAATTTATTTAAATATACATGTATATGTGACTTAAAAAATACTGTTTGGCATATCAGTCAATTCGGATAAAGGATAAAATTAGCTAAACTGAAAACTTAAAATGCATTATATCACGTGTTCCGACTTTTCTTTTTCAGAATGATAATTAACCTAAATTTTAAATGTTATAAAATTCATATAGAAATGTTATATATTTTATGTTATAAAAATAGTTTTTATATGGACAATTGCAACAACAATTAAATTGACTTTTCTATTTGCTAATATATATTTTTCTACATTTTTTACAACAATAATCTCAATGTCAGGCAAGTGATCGTAAGGGGGAGTTCTTAAACACTCGTCTTTTCCATGCTTTTTGGGGGCAATATTGGCCACAAAGCTATAACCGCATCTTTTGTGTTTCTGTTAAAAGTTATTTAATATGATTTTCTACCTTGAACTAACTCGGAATTGTCTATGAATTTCTACTAGATTTCTATTTAGGGCGAGGCTCTTTTTGCACTACGCAAATTGCGCATGCGCGAAAAATACTACTTCCGTTCAATTTTTCACAGCAACGGACTGCGTCGTAAAAATTTCTACATAAACTTTACAACATGATAAATAATGACTTCGTAAGCCAGTTGTAAACTTGAGTATTTTCAAATGATATTTGTTTTTATTTTTCTCCAGGTTTATAAGTTTTCGGATTTTAGTTTCTTTCCATTTTTATGAATGTTTAAACTTCTTATTTGCCCATATATTTTATATCTGTACAAACTGTGCCATATATTTTAATATTTGTATAAACTGTAAAATTTTTATAGTATCTTATTTTTTTTGTAGAATATTCTTTTCATTAATTATATAAACAGCCTTTTTATACTTAATTTCCGTCCACAGCACACCTAAAATAGTTGTGAACCATCAAAAGTATATTTGTTTCTATTGAATTAAGTGTCGTGCCTTATACTATAGTTAAAGCATTAATCATTGTCCTGTTAACAACAGCTCGTTTACACACATTACGTCTATCAAATATAGAAAGTGCTTTTGCGTTCATACATTGTGTGTCCATATTTATAGCTTGTATACCATTAACACAACGTAATGTATTAACTTCTAACGTATTACTCTTCGAAATGATATGCTAATGTTCAAATAATACTTTTATGAATAAATACATGCCTGTGTTATATAGATTTATGTGATCCGTAAAAATACAGAAGAAGGGCAATGTAAGCTTAGTATATATATAACGTAATTTGTAACCAGATGGTGTGTGTGTGTGTGTGTGTGTGCGCGTGCGTGCGTGCGTTGGTGCGCGCGCGTGTGTGTGTGTGTGTGTGTGTGTGTGTATTTGCGTTTATTTATACTCGCCACCGGTGGCCCATATGGGGAGTTCACCTAGTCATTTTAGATTTTGGAAGATAGTGCAATTACAGATACAGTAAGACGCTCCAATTCCAGAAGCTTCTCCTGGTTCTTTATCGTGCCAAGTGTTTAAGCACCTATGCACGGGACCTCGATTTAAAGTCTCATGCAAAAGACTGATTAGTAATTTTAGTTGGCCACCCCGGAAGTCGAACCCACAATGTCAAGATTACAAGACTTGCGCTACCCCAGAGGCTATTCTGAAATATCGCTATTACTAAGGGCCAAAGTTTGTCCTATTTCGGCTCATTAAGGAGAACCAAAACCTTTGCTCTCAGATGCTGTTATTTTTAAGACCTTCATGATAAAACGGGTAGTGTTAAAGGTCACAATATAACTACCTTCTCTTATCGACGACCAAACTAAACAATCTTAAATCGTCGACAGAACATAATTTTTGCAACTTCATAAGCATATTTTTGAATTTGTATGCCAGTTTGTTGTCAAATTTAAGTAGTGCAAAATAATTCATTAACATAAACGCAAGTGAGATTATTTTTACATTTTAAGAATTAATGAAACCATGTCATTTTTATGACTTTCATTTGTTTCATTGTTTCATTTTGTACTACTTTGTAAACTTGACTACAAACACTTTTTATATTACTTACTATATTCTTTGTTAATCACGTTGACAGGTTATATATATGAATTATATATGTATGTAGATAATGCACTTTGTATAAATCTAAATAGAATATATGTCTGTCTGTCTGTCTGTCTGTCTGTCTGTCTGTTTCATGTTTTTTCATGATAAATTATGTTAATTTGTGACATATATTTTTCTTTACACTGGTCTATATACATGTATTATTGCAAATCTTGCCTGCGCATGTCAATCCGAATGTAGTTGGCTTAATTCGCCAAAACATACAAAACCATTCTTCAGGTATTATAACATTTACGCAATAAACATTTATTTTACATAGAGCAAGTATTTGACAATAGTTTATTATATGTTGCTCAAAGAATAAACGTATGTTATATTGTTTTATAATATAGTTGACTTCTTGTTCTTTTCATAAGCAAAACAATAGCAATTTGAAGCTTGTCATTTTGTTGCAAAGCAGCCTTGTTTCAAATGATTATTCTTAAAACGCAAGATTTTCTGCAGAAAGGCTCGATTCATTTTGCGTGTCCTAAATACAAGTACAAACATAACATGTAATAACATTCACATGCATAAGATTAAGGCCTCTAGGTTCATCATAATTTCCACGAAAGTTTTGAAAATGTATCAATATAAAATATTGTGAAGTGAACAAAGATAGTAATTGACATATTGCAATCGGCACTTAAAATCTACCTCAATTACCAAAATGAGATCAGAATATGCAAAAATAGCACCAACTGCGTTAGTAACGCAGTAGAAATATGTTAATAAATAAAGCAAAATCAGTCATTAATCACACATAAGATATAAATTATAACTTAAATCATTTATCGTTTTACTTTTCTTAAAATGTACATTTCTTCCACGTTTGATTTTCGTGAGATACTTTGATTCATCTGGAGGCATGCAGCGCCGGGATCAATTTTAAATTTCTTGCTTTCTTGCAAATTTATTAATTTATATAATTTTGTCAAATGGAAAGACAATGTTTTCTACACTCCATGTACAAATACTGTCTGATTTCATAAAATAAAGGTAGTTTACCAAGACTAAGTATCGTGGAACAAGGCTAAAAGTAAATCATACGTAAAAAGGAGAGATATAAAACACGTTGTTTCATCCAGAGAGGCACTACTTTGCATAATGCAAAACGCGTTGGTTCGACTAAAGTTACAACATTGCAATGTCAGCAAACATCTGCAATTTTCTCTACATGTATTTACTAGCAGATTTGATTAAGTACCGAATTTAAATCGTAATTATGGTTTAATTATCAACCGTCTGTGCCCGTTAACCAGTAATAGAAGGTTGATCCTATGAAGACATTGTTTACCATTTTGTCAAATATGACGTGGAAAGTCATCTATCTGACACAATTCATCATACATATCTATGAAGCTGATAATTTCAAATAAATATAAAAAAATCGGTGCAAAATATCAACTACTCAGGCCTATGCCCTTCATTGTCAATTTCAAACTCAAAACCTGTGTTAAATGAACGATAAACATCGTTGAAACCGATATTATTTCTTGAGTATATACCTCGTAGGCATATACATTGTACTTATTTTCTACTGCTGCCTGTCGTAGACATGTTTGCAACGTTTATAATAACATCGAAAACAATAGCAAATCCATGATCTAAAATAGGGTTAATGACTTTCTTTTTAGGTCTACATTACATTATACATGTGTTAGTCACTTGATGCAAACCCCACTTTTGTACGTCATACATAGAATGTCTAAAGTAAATAAATAAGTATCAAATAAAGAAGGAAATACATCGACAATTTCAACGCGTATCAAAAGGTCAAACGGGACGTTCTTTAAGGCCATTTAAATTTTAACGGCATTGTCAGTAAAAGAAAATGTTTATTTAGATGAACAAACAATGAAGGCCAATGTTCTGGGACAAAGTTTCATTACTACGTTTTTGGATAGCAATAATAGGATTTTGTCTGACTTTAAAGTTTTACAAAGCAGATTTCGATTTATTAAAATGCTCAATATTTACATTCGTGTTTCTCTATATTTCTATTTTACAAATGTATCAATGTTTCTATAAAATATCTATTGGGTCTAAATCGGGGTCAATACAATAGCTACTTTCAAATATTTGGTCTATATTTAATTCCTCAGTTTTCAAATTTAAGATTTGCACATTTATTTAATTTTGTTTCAAATTGAAAAGTATGAAAGAAGATGTAAATCAGCCTGCTCATTTCATAATGTGTGCAGCATTTTCGTTTTGGTTTGTCTATTGCATTTTATCTATTGATAATGGAAATCGTGAATTTGAAATATTGACGGTAGCCGACCTCGAATATTTGAAAGTTAAGTTTGCCCTAAAATTTGTCGGCAGTTTGTAATGCGAGCTACAGGAAACGATCTATAGCACCGACTTAAACCCATTTTAACATGATACATTCAAGCTTGCAAGATTTAAGGAACATCTGCTGATAATGTGGCACACAGAATGTTTCGTGAACGTTACGTTACGAAAGCACGATTCGTGCCATTCCATGAGCAGCGGCGTATGGTCCCCAAGTGAACGAATGTGTGTGCCCTAATTGAGAAAAGTTGGACAAAGGCAGATGTGGAATGTTAGATTAAGAAAAAAAAATGAAAATAATAAATAAAACAACAACAATAAAAAACCCACAAAAAACAGACCCCCCCCCCCCCCCAAAAAAAAAAAAAATAAATAAATAAATAAATAAATAGAACCAAAGATAAACAAAGTAATATTTTATTTGTTTGATTAGTACCGCATTTCTTTTTCCGAAACTAATACAAAATCCACTTAACCTACAAATAATATCAGATTAATCAAACAATTACACATACATATCAAGCCTGTTGACCATTCCACTTTCCTTTCTTATTGTTACAACTTCATACATATGTTTACTTACTTCTATAACCTAGTCGTATACAAACTACCAGTGTCGATATAACGGTAAAGATATCATAAATAATAAATTAATACACATTGTATACCTGACTGTTTAATATTGATTTCTAAAGTAGCAAATCGAAGAGCAGACAAGAAAAGAAGGCGGGACTTAAGTATATTAACATGATCGATTCTCTGTTAAATCCGATATAGATTTCTGTCTTTCAAGCAGTTTACGGTGGTATATATAACTTTGTGGGAGATACCATTTTTCAGAAGGAAATTGGTTTTATAACTGAGCTAATCGATGAAGTCGTACTGGAGAGAATTTTAAAGATTTATAAAGCTTAAGAATACATGATTTATACTCAGTGACATTGAAGTTGCGTGTAAAGGACTAGCAGTGAATGAGGAGAGAAAGTAAATAGCTTTATGATATCCTGTGAAACAGTCTTCGGAAGAAGTTTCAAGGAACTGAAAAAAAGAAAGAAGTGACTGATACTTAGTTGTCAGTAAACTTTGTTTGAAAAGTATATAACCAAGAAAATAACCAGTAGGATGAGGACGGTTCATTTGCAGCGTATTCGGTCCACGGAAAGTGAAGAAAGTGGCTGCGAAAGTGATAGTAGCACGGCGAGTGGGCAGAAAAAAGTCCATTTTGTAGGCAGTGTAAATGAAACTGATTTTGAACATTCGGGAAGAGACTTAAAAGAGTGCAAGAAGAAATCGAAGCTGAACAGATTCAACTCTCTTAAAATAGATCGTGGGGATATCCCGAACGGATCAGAATTGTTTTGTCAAATACTCAAAGAAATTCAGGCTGAAAGCGGCGATGATGAGATTCAAACTCCGAGGTCTGACAGTGTTTCTAAACCTTTAAGGTCTATACTGAAACACAAATCATGAACATATAAAAATAGTCTTGGTGGCAAGGAAGATAACGCAGAGAACAAGTCGTAAATGCCAAGATGTGTTTTAAAGATGCATTTAATAGAGTTACTGACTAGCGTTCAACCCTAAAAAACGGTAGACTCGTGATGTGAGGACATAAATTCTGAAACGGATTGTCGGTAATTTCGGACATGTTTTACCCGATGCAATATCGAATTAGACAGTTGTACCCAACAGTTATGTTATCGAAGCAACGAATGTTACTGAAATTGCAGAATATTCTCTGTGTGATTATTCAATAAAATGAAAAAAATCAGTAACAGTTACTATGTAATAACGAAATATTATGAAACGATCAACTAGAAGATTAGGTATGACTTTAATAATTTGGTCATGAGAGGAATTAAGCAAGTCTCGACTCTGACGTTACAACGTCAATTATGATTGATAAGCCTAAGTATTTAATCCTCTTGGAATCTTAATTGATTTGTACTGGTTTAAAGAGCGTTCGGAACGCAAGATAAGTAGTTTAGTCTAAATAATTAAACACCCTGCTTCT